CACTAAACATAATTTCATGAATATAGAATACATGTGAAATCTTTGCGCATTAAATTTCATTTTTTGATGAATAGCAAATATCTAACATTCTTTATCAAGATTTATCTAGATTCCTAGATAAATTGAAGATATTTTTTTTATATCGTTATAAATTTTGTATTGAAGAAAACATAGATTGATTGACATTGCTAAAGCGAACTATATTTGCTTATAATTATGAAATTACACGACAATAATGAGCTTTAATGATTAAAAACAAAGTAGCTTAAAAGTAAAGAAAAAAAAGGAATAACATTTTAAATAACATACTAATATTGAGTACGAAGAGTTACCTGAAACAATGACAGTAAATACATAATTAAATATGATATCAAATAGATAAAAAGGCAATCAGTAAGTTTTTATTTACATCTATATATCGCAAACAATGATAACTTGAATGAACTAAGGAAAGAAAAAAAAAAAGATTTCAATTTAAATCAGTGTGTATTTGTTATTAAATCTTTTTCAGAAAACTCACTAAAAGAAATCTCTATACAAATCACAATGATGTCTATTCATCACTATCAAAGTCAAAATAGAAATAAACAAGTCAAAAAGCTATTGAAATACGAAGAAGAAAAAAATGCTCATGTCAGTACTAATATGTCATTGTTGGTATGAAAGAAAGAATCTAGTTTTAGCCCATGAAAAACATCAAAATCAAGTTTACTCTCCCCGGTAAGCAACAAATAAGTACCGACATCAAACAAGACTACTCTATAATATTCATACTATCTATCAGATATAGTCTGAAACATCTTGCATATCCATCAGTACCGATTATCTTTTCAAGAAATGTGTTCTTCAACTATGTTTGAACTAGTTCAAAATGTACTTACATCTATTATGTTTAGTTCGTTTTTTTTTCTGTTCATTCCGTTCAAACTAGTCATTAGAACGAAAAAAACTAGACAATCGTGAATTCGAATATATGATCCGATGGATTTTCTGGCGGCAAAATACGATTTAACAATAGACAGATGACATTTTAAAGTCTAAATAGCAGAGTGACGCTTGTTCATTCGATATATAATTGAAACTAACTGAAGAAAAGCGAGTTGACTAGTCTGAGATGTCGTCAACATATTTCATCATAGAGAGTAAAGATTGGCACTTTTTTATATTGAAAGTACAAAATAATCTTGAAGTACAAAGACGTGCATGAAAATAGAAAGTATTCTGATTACTTCTCAACGAAAATTGTCTATTAATGTTCTTTAGAATTGATCAGACTGTAGAGTAGGATCGGACCATTTTATTTAATGGGACTTAGTTCATGACATTAATTAATGTTTTTCATTATTCATTAATATTAATGGTTAATGTTTTCCTTTAAAAATTTAATTCAATAATATTAATCATTACGGCCTCCCCCCTCCCCACTTAAAAACCGATCTCAGCCCAGGTACGTCCAAATAGGCTGAAATTTGGAGCATATGTTGGGGCTGAAGTAAGGAGGCTATGATAAAATGTTCAGCTCGATCCCATGACGTTTGATAGAGATATGAACCAAACAAGCGTCAAAAATAGCTCATATTGCTTCCAAGATTTCTTGGTTCGGGCTCTGTCAATATATTTAGCTTTTTTTTTGTTTGAAAGAGCATGTCAGGATGCAGGGTATCACAAGTTCAATGACTCAAAAAACGCGCCAAAAATGGGTGTCGAGTTACATAAATGTCTGTATACATAACAAAAAACAAAGCTTAATTAAAAAAAAAGGACTCTGTGATGCCTTACATCTCGATACGCTCTTCTAAACAAAAACAAAATTTAAATATATTGACAGAGCCTGTACCCAGAAATCTTGGAAGCAAAATCGACAAATTATAAACCGAGAAAAAACAAAAAACATTTTTTTGAACTGAAATTTTTCAAGATTTTTGTACTTTTACACGGTTTTTTGGCATTTTTGAAGAGAAGAATCACCAACTGTCATATATCTTTGTACAGTATGTATAAATAGACTTCTTCTTCGTGACTTGTTGAGTTTCATTGCATAAGTAGTTCTATCTTCTACGACATAGTCACATTGGACTTGGTCGAAAGCATTGTACTACGATCAATTCTATATTGCCTCGATCCTTTTATTTTATGAATAATATTCATAACAAACATTTTATGACATGTAGATGATTAAAGCATTACTCATAATTTGTCAAAATAGATATGATAGAAAGAAAGAGTAAGCGAATGAGCGAGCTGCAGAGAAGGAGAACTCACAAAAATAACGTCATAAATGTCAGATTGAGAAAATCTATGTTGGTTATACTGAATCATATGGTTTTCCATCCTTCTCTTTCTCTTATTCCTCTCCGCTCTTGTTTTGATCTCAGTTGAGTTGGTTTTTCTATAATGATTAATAAAACTTGTTGAAACGTCTCTGGTTTTTATTAAAATACTTATTTTCCATGCAAAAACCTCAAAATCCGATTTTTTTCAGGAAAAATCATATTTTTCATGCAGCTGACTACAGAAATCATCAAAATTTTCAGCCAAAAAAGGGGCGTTCGATAAAAAATTATATCATATCTGAAAGATCTGAAGACGGGCTATCTTTCGATGCATTTATCTCAATTTAGAAAAGTTCGAACGAAAATTGACTTTTTTTGAGTGGGGCGGAAGCCTTAATATCGAGATTTGTTAAATTACTTTGTCCTCGAACAAATAGTAGGTTATCATTTGCCTCAAATTGGGTGCCACAAATCAATCATCAAACAAAATCCCCAAAATGGAAATTTTCATTTGGGAATTTTTTGACATGAATATATTATACATTCTATAGTTCAATATTATTCTTTTTCTCTTCCAAGATCGTATTACCGAAACTAAAACTTTTGAAGTCATATCTGCTGGAGGTGCTTAGTTTGCGTTAGCTAAACATAATAAAAACAGTTTTTCCATGAATCTAGTGATCAGAATGTATTTTGGGGTACTACAACGAACAATTTTGAGGTGAAACTGGTGACCAAAAAATATTTTGGATTGTCAAAAAGGGAACTTTATAGTAAACAAAGATACATTCTGGTCACCAGATTCATGGGAAAAATTGTTTTTATTATGTTTAGGTAACCCAAACTAAACACCTCTAACAAATATGACTTCAAAAGTTTTAGTTTTGGTAATACGGTTTTGGAAAAGAAAAAGAATGGTACTGAACTACAGAACGTGTGATATATTTCATGTCACAAAATTCCTAAATTAAAAAATCCCCAAATCAAAATTCTCAAATGGGGATTTTGATTTGGAGATTGATTGTCGTAACCAACTTGGGGCAAATGATAGACATTCGAATAAAGATTACTCTATATTTTTTTATAGAAAAATCTGGTTAAACTGGAATGTTTTTCGTTATTTGTATATCTTGCAACAAGTGAATTTGATAGTCTAGTTGTTTCACTTCTTCGTCGAATGTTACATTTGGAAAAACTAACATTATCTCTTCATCTTAGTCAACGAACGTCATCCGTTGATGGTGCTCATCTAGAGAATTCTTTTCTTAGACAATTATCAAATTTACATACATTTATATTCGATATTGTTACCAAACATGTCAACATAAATGGACAACTTAAGCCGTCTTTTGATAATATTCGACGTACATTTACTCAAAGAGGATATAATATCGATGGTTACCTTGATTGTAACAATTATCTTAATACAATGTGGAGTCGATATCATATCTATTCGCTTCCGTCTGATATGGAATATTTACAGCAGATTTCGCATAGTTTTCCTGGTGACATGTTCATGAATGTTGGCGGGTGTGGGTGTCAGCAAATAGAAGATCTACCCACACCCATTCAAATATCTATTAAAGGTCTCGAAAATATAGAAATGCACACATCTGCACTGAAAAAAAATATGAATACGATTTACATATAGAAAGTCGACAAAAATCTGTGGAAAAGGTAGATTTCAGGGGTGGCATACGGTGTAATTCTCAGAGAATCGAGTTCCTATTCATACTCACTAAAATTATACATGGAATTCTAATGAAATTAAAGTGATAATTATGAGTTGTTACACTGAATTTCGATAGTATTTTCAACCGGAATCTTATGATTTCTTTCATTATATTTAGTCATTTTGATGGATATTTCCGAATACCACATAGAACGAAATTTGGGTCTAGCATCGTAACAGCTCGAGTCCAAAGAAAGAATCGATAAATAGTTTATAAAACTTCAACGAACACTTGAAGTTTAGTATTCGAACTTATTGTTGAATTTTTTTTACTGAAATTAGTATAATCTCATCCTGAACTTAAATGGATATAGACCATCTCCTAATGATTACACGAGGCTGAGAAACTTTTGTCGGCTTGGTTGAATATAAAAACAGGAAAATTTTCGGAAAAAAGCTTTTGAAATTTTGTCTTGATCGATGAAAAGACTCGGGTCTTATAATGCGTTTTTCAAACTTTTTGCTAAGAAGGTTCTTTTAATATATGGAGGGGGGAGGATCTTTTATTATAAGCAGGGGTGTTACATGAAAGTTTCAGGGAGCTAGTTTATGTACAAAATCTAAGAACTCAAGTAGCTTTTTTATTGATTCTTTTTGAAAAATGCATAGTATGGAACTTGCATTGCTTACACGTACTCGATCACACACTTCTGAAAATGCATGCATAAACTAACGATGTAAGTGTGGGTGAGGGTATTATTTCTCTATAAACACACCCAGACCAACCCTTGCTGAAATGAAAGATTGCAGTGTGACTATTTCAATACAAGGTACGGCTGTTTTCTTTTCTGGGTTAAATAAATCTTTTTTATTCATAAAATCAGATTGCACGAATCAAAATAGAATAATATAATAAATGTTATGCAGAAAGTCTCTGGTTTATATTAATTGGTCGTTGATATTTTCTTAATTCGATAGCAAATGTGGATTCGATTTAAAGTATCTAGACAAGTGAATTCATTTGATTTTTGTACTGATTATAATTTAATGCAGACTTACTTAATAAATGGATAAGCTGTATAAAAGTTTTCTTTATTTACTGGTGTGTCAAATGAAATCCACTGGCATTTGTCCTATAAATAGAATATTTGTATTGTAAAGTATATCAAAAGAAGTTTTTCAAATTATTTACTTGGTGGTATTCATAATCTTTTACTCGAAATTTAATAGTCTTGAGAAGATGTATTACGAAGATCCCCATCAATCGTTGATATCTTTCCGAAAAGGCTTCTTCGAAAGCACACTCCAAATAGGTAGAAGGTATCCATTCATTTTTATACTGATTAATGTTAAATGCATCCCATTCTCCATTCTTTTCATCATTCTGATACTCAAGCTGTTTAGCAGTTACTCGTACAGCTGTTTCCCACGCTGTTTCAAATGTGTCATTAACTTTCATACTTGGGTGTCCTTTGATAATACGGCGACATTCACCACCATTACGGTGCGGCGCTACAAAGAACTATAAAACTCACTGTAAGATGTAAAGACAGATAGAAGAAAAAAATACTTTATCATGATGGACGAATAAAAAGCCAAAGGAGTATCGATGGAGAATATGAACACGACGCTGATGAAGTAGTTGCTCTTGGTTAAATGTTAATTTGTATTCGGACACTTTCAATCAAATGAAAATTTAATGTAGAAAATCAATTCGATAAAATATGAGCAACGGTTTTTGAAAGTCGTAACCAAGATTATCTTTAAAAATTTTTCTTGGGGGTGTGGGTGCGAAAGAGTAAAATAGCAACAAATGAATATGCACCTTATGCTGAGTGTGGGTAAAGAGAAGATCACTGTCCTCACACACACTGGCATCCACACCCATACCCTCTTTAGCAGTCATCCTATTCTGCAATGTTGCACATTGCGGGAATCCATTCCTCTCCCGGAATCAGTCCCATCCGATTCCGGAATTCCATCTCGTCCTCACCCTCAGCATGCCTTGTGTAGTTACAGAGAAATATCTAAAATAAGTGAGCGATTCAGGAACGTAATTCCGAGAATTAGATCGAAGCGGAATTAGACGGAATCGGATGGAATTCCTAGCAATTCCCATTAATTCCGTTCGGTTCTAGAATTCGATCCAAATCCGGAATGGAACGGAATTCGTCGGAATTGCTAGGAATTACTGGTAATTCCGTTCGACTTCGTCTAGTTCCGTTTCGATCCAATTCCAGAAATTTCGTTCCGGAATCTCTCGCTTATTTCATATATTTATCTTTAACTACACAAGGCAAGCTGAGGGTGAGGATGAGAAGGTATTCCAAGCAATTCTCAGCATTTCTGTCCGATTTCGTCTAGTTCCGCTTCGATCTAATTCTCAGAATTCCGATCTGGAATCGCTCACTTATTTTAGATATTTCTCTGTAACTACACAAGGCATGATGAGGGTGAGAATGAGACGGAATTCTGGAATCGGGTGGAGTTCCAGAAATTGAGGGAACTCAATCATTTTCGAATAAAGCGAGTTAGTTCTACGGTTGGGAATTCCGGAATCGAATGGAGCTGATTCTGGGGGCGGAATTGATTTAGTTGGATTCAGCACAATTATGACGATTAATAGACTGTAACTATATTGCTCATACCCCCCTTATGTATTTATGTATTCAAGTCAGGCATGCGCCGAACACAGGTGTAGATCAGTAATCTCAAGTTCAGCTATTCCCAACTTCACTTGATGACTAATTTAGATCTAAGCACAATATCATAGATGAGAAAGTCACCAATTTTTTTACTCAAGTCAAGTCATTTTTAGCTTGACTTGACTTGTCCATCTCTGTCTACCATACTAGCCTTAGCAAGTTCATTCATTCAAATAAGTATTACTCAAAAACAGTTTTTTTTCAAATATTTATAAATATGTCAACTATTAGCCACAACATTCTCAACTAAACAAATCTGTGCACAAATAATATTGATCACAAATAAAGAGTTAGGTTGCATTTCTCTATGCTTACTAAACTTTTGTATTGATTGCGATAGTTTGCCATATTTATGAAACGATTTGTCAAGATAAGGCATTGCCTGTAAACAATGAATGATTTTTTCAAATATTTGGGATGGTGGATTGTTCGTTAATCTATAAGAATTTGAAAACAAATGGTGATTGATCCTCGGAAAGTTCATGTTACTTTTCTAAATCTGAACGGATACTTGAACCATCTCTAGGTGTTGCTTCATAACATTCATATCTAACAGCACAAATGATATTCGATACGCAATATGAATAATGAAATGTATATGCTTACATATTCTGTTGGAAAGCTGTTACATTCAATGGCTTATCAATTATCCAAAGAACCAAATCATTGATTTGTTCTTGTGATGTTTCGATGGCAGTTGTTGACGAAAATTGAAATTTATTTAAGTTATCACAAGTTTCGATAATCATTGTCTCAATGTATTCATCATCATTATAGTTGCTTCTAGTAGAAATTTGGCTGTTAAACAGATATCCCATGCATTGGACATTTCGAACACCATCATTAGGATGTGAATCCCCTATGCTGTCCAAGACTAAAACTCTTTTCTTGTCTATATGATAATATATAAACATAAAATGATGTATGAGAGAATTTACATTGTTTTCTTACTTGCCAAATTTCGTTTACCTAGAATAATTAGACAAACAATAATAAACAGAATGAAATTCAGTAAAAAAAAACATACGAATGCGTCCTCGGTCTTGGCGTGATGAACGATTTGCTTTTTTTCGGCGTTTTCCCTGATTTTCTGAAATAAAACATGAATAATTAGTTGCATGCATACTGTTTCGTTTATTATTCGTCATTATTATTCTAATCATACCGTCAAACCAATTGTCCATCGTTTTTGTATGCGGATTGCCTTCAGCAATTTAATAGTAAAATTTGGATCTAAACGAAAGATGGATAGTTGGTTTTGAAGATAGATGTTGGGAATAGGTAGCAAAACAGGGTAGAGCTTGTCGGATAGAAGAATTTTTGAACTCTGATCCGGTCGACCAAAACTTTCGCAACCAAACTTCATTGATTAATTTTTTTGTGAAGTTCGATCGGAACTATCCCGTTAAAGTTCTTAATGAGATTTTCCAATCTGACTTTGATTATCTGAATGAATTCAATCTTCAATAAATCAAAAGCCTTGAGATTTCACATCGTTTTGTTTGAATTCAGTTCCAAGTTGGATTTGAATGTGGGAGCTTAGGCTTAGATTTGTCTGTGCTTTCAGATCATTCGAATCCCAAAGATTTGGTGAAAGAAACTGTCAGCAAACAACAGTCTATTTGACTAGGTGTGTATCATAATCCAAAAAATTACCTTTAAGTTTAGAACTAAACCCTTAGTGTTTATATTTGGATTAGATCCTAAAACTAGAAATTATTTTCTAATTGCACGTGGGTGTGGAGTGTGGATCTTTTCTTCAATAACACCTACTTACGCCCATACTCACACCCTCACTCCTATATGGATGAATCACAAATCTCTTCTAGTTTGGTGCTCCTATACTGCAAAAATACAATATAGTTTTTCTATTGTTCTCTGTTCGATGAGTAGCATATTGTAGATGAAGACTAATGCAGAACTAGGTAATATATGATTTGATTTCTAGATTTGTGAAGCTAACTATGTTTAGAGATTATAGTCAGGAAACGTTTTCTTGTTTCTTTTTTTATTTTTTATACATAAATGTACGATTCTTTGAATAAAACTAGCAAGACTTACGAGGGAACGTTTTCAACTGTCCAATCGCTTTTGAGTTCGAACTGTGTGCATAAGGTAGACCCAGTGAAGTATGAAAAACCTCAAAAGGATAAGTGCTGTTAGGCCTTCTGTCCAGAGTTATAGGGATTTTACTGGAATTTTAGCCTATGGCATGGTACATACCGAAAAATCGAATGACGATATTTCGACTTGAGACTTTGCCCAGAGATAGGTCTATTTATGAGTAGGATGCTCTGA